AGACACACACACACACACACACACACACACTCACACTCACTCAAACACACACACACACACTGCACCGGCTGTGAAGAGCATCATATAGCACTGAACACACTCTCATTCACACACTGCACCACTCTCGCTCTGAGCCAGATAAATAAATTAAATACTTATTAATACCGTCCACTTCACATTATAATGTTTCCAGTTGGAATGTCACTGGAAACATGTAAAATAACTGCTTTTCTAAGTCGTTTTGGATAAAAGCTAAATGCAGAAATGTAAACATTCAAAGTTCAAAAGGTTGACAGAAAAACAAGTTCATTTCCATAATGTAAAACATCATTAAATCAATGACACTGCAAAAAAAAAAAAAACCTTAATGGTTTTAAAAATAGGCTTTATATGTAAAATGTGATTATTAAAATTAAAATTCTAGTTCATTATATTTTCATTGGAAACATTTATTATAAATACTATGTTCATCTACATCAGCATAAAATAAATGCATCAAATATTACCATATTTTTTACAATACAACTTAAATAATATATTTAATATATATTTTGATGACATTTATATGTTTTCAATATTTTTTGCATTAAATATATTATACATTAAATAATGACAAAAGGCAAATAAAACCTTAATGTCTGAAAACTAGGATTACTTTTCTTAAATATATTTTACTATATAGTTATATTAATTTTCATTAGATTTCCATTACTATAAACATTAATTATAAATTGTACGTTTTTGTTTATCTACATCAGTGTAAATGAAAGGCATCAAATTTTACCAAAATGTTTTTTGTTTTTTTTTTACAATACAATTTAAACAATAAATCTAATTTTGATAATATTATATCATAATATAAGTTTTAAATATTTGTATTAATATTTTAATATTCGTATTTATCATTGCATTAAATTAATGGGAATTTGGGGATAAAATGTGCTTATTTATAATTAACAATGACAAAATGAAAAAAATATCTAAAAAAAAAAAAAAAGGATAAATTTTGTCCATGTAAAATATATTTCTTTACTATATAGTTATTTTATTGTCGTAACATTTCATTACCATAAAACATTAACATGCAAAAACATGTTTTTGTTTATCTACATCAGCATTAAGGCATCAAATATTACCATGTTTATTTTTTACAGTACAATTGCTAAAATATATATTAATACAGTATAATATGTGTCCCTGGAGCACAAAAGCAGTGTTAAGTCGCTGGGGTATATTTGTAGCAATAGCCAACTATACATTGTATGGGTCAAAATTATACATTTTTCTTTTATGCCAAAAATCATTAGGATATTAAGTAAAGATCATGTTCCATGAAGATATTTTGTAAATGTCCTACCGTAAATATATCAAAACTTAATTTTTGATTAGTAATATGCATTGCTAAGAACTTCATTTGAACAACTTTAAAGATGATTTTCTCAATATTTAGATTTTTTTGCACCCTCAGATTCCAGATTTTCAAATAGTTGTATCTCGACCAAATATTGTCCGATCCTAACAAACCATACATCAATGGAAAGCTTATTTATTCAGCTTTCAGATGATGCATAAATCTCAATTTCAAAAAAATGGACCCTTATGACTGGTTTTGTGCTCCAGGGTCACATATAGATAATATAGACGAAAACAGATAAAATGACGTAATTTCAAGTTGCATGTAAACATTAGTAAATAGGTAAACATTAGATCTGATCTGCAGTTGTAAATATGTTTTATGTGACTAAAAGATGAAAATACACTCACGTCATCTTCCTCATCAGTCATATCATCATCATCGTCGTTGTCAGCGGTGCTGTGCTTGTATCCAGGCGGCAGCGGAGGCCCGACCACATCATCATCATCATCTTCCTCATCCTCATCATCATCCGTCTGAGCGCCGAGCGCAGGAGGAAGTGGAGGACCGATGACATCAGAGTCCTGCTTCCTGTTCACACAAACACATGATGACGGAACAAGTCGATTTCTCTTAAGAACTGGCATGAAAAAGCTATTGATTATCTTTGTGATATACTAGATCCACAAGGGAACGTTTACTCTTACTGTGATTTCATGTTTAAACACATTTCCCCTGTGCTTCATAAGGAATTTCTTACAATGGCTAAAGCTATACCAAATGCTCGTTCACTTAATGAAATGGTGATTGTAAAAAGGGAGCAGAATTGTTTGGATGAAGACACGTGTATTTACGACCCAAAATGTAGTAATAAAATGATAAGAAATGTGTTTCAGTTAAAGAAAAAAATTACTCCGAGGGACTTTTATTTTGGGGAATTTTTTAATAGATAAGATTATTTGGAAAAAAAGCATGGCTCTTACTTTATAAATTCTGTGTCCCCAATAAAGTAAAAGAATTACATTTAAAAATGGTGCATAATATATACCCCACTAATGAGATTACATCCAAATCTGCTAATCCTCATTTGAATTGTAATTTCTGTATTGAGTCTATTGATCATATTTTTTTCCAAATGCCAATTTTTCAATAATATGCCAATTTAGACACTGATTTAACTATGTGTGATATAATCTGTTATTTTTCTCATCGTAAACATAACATAGAATATATAGGAAATGTATTTATTTTATCGGGAATGTATTATATTCACAAATGTAAATTTTCTTTAAAGTTACCCAAATTACATAATTTTCTTTGTGACTTTAACTACTTGGTTATAACACTAAAAAATATTAACACCAAAAAAAGTGTCAAAGTTGTGAAACTGTATAATGATCTGCTGAATGCACAGTAATTCTCTATACTCTTTGTTTTATGTATTTACATTTAGACATTTAGTAGACATCAGTATAAATGAGGACGAAGCAATCAAAATCAACAAAAGAGCAATGATACACAAGTGCTATAATAGTTGTATCTCAGCCAAATATTGTCTGATCCTAACAAACCATACATCAATGGAAAGCTTATTTATTCAGCTTTCAGCTGATGTATAAATCTTAACAAAACAAAAAAATTGACCCTTATGACTGGTTTTGTGGCCCAGGGTTACAATTGTATAATAAATAAAAAGAAAACAAACAGATAGAATACAAAAATATTAGAGAAGCTAGTGTTAGTTAGTTTTTTTTTTAAAGAAAACAAGCAGTTAGTAAATGAATAGAGTGCAAGTCTAAAAGAGGCAAGTTTTTTTTTAAGAACAGAATTAGAATACAGAGTGCCAGATTGATTTAATCTTTTTTTTCTTTATTGCCTTCCTATATTATTTTTGTATTCATACGGTCATCCAATGTTGTATTCATAGACTGTATAAAAACATGGACGTAGTGTCCGTGACGTCACCCGTAGGTTTCCGAAGAGCGTTTTTGAAACCTAAAGTAGGCGGAGCCGGCCGGCCGTCACCACTCCCGGATAATCGAAAATGGGCAAAGAGGCGGGAGCTGGTTGCTGAAGCCACGCCCACCTAGCTCGACGGCAGT